TAAGAGAGGTCAGCTAAGGTGAGCTCCAGTTCTGATTCACTGTGACTCCAATCCATCAGGTAGTGGAAAATGACTTACGTAGCTCAAATGCACAAATTCTATTGCTAATGCCAGTTTAAGTTTGTTTAATCCTTGGTGATTTTATCAAAACAGATTTACTTCATCCGGATCATAGTCTGAGCAATACAGGATTTTGAGGCTAATAATGTTAATACTTGACACAAAGATATAGCGTATAACTGTTATTCATTTATCGTCATCATCATTATCCTTTTTGATTAAGTTCCCTTAAAACTGTTATTTAACAGTGTAAAATAATGTCAGTGCTCTCTGGTGGGCAGATTATGTGATGGAGACACTTTCTAAATTACCTCAAACTTATCTTTAGAATTTCTGTACAACAATTTTACAGAAAATGCTGTGAAATGCTTCCTAGTGAAAATGTACTGCTACTGCATTCCGGGTTACATATTGGTTACACTTTCTGCAGGAGTCTTGTCATCACTGCTTGGTTGCCAGTAGGTTAAAAACTGGTTTGGTTGTTTTTAAAAATGTAAAATCAGTCAGGCTACATTTGCCATATTTTCAGCCTAGTGTAAAAACGTACTGCAGACACATTGTGTTATTAAATAAAACTATAATAAATACCTGGGCATCCCTCGATGTCTTGGCCAGGTTGACGAACATCTGACCCACCTCCCTGTCAAAGACCCTCACCCTGTTCCAGTCCAGTGTCAGTGGGCTGTCCTTTCCTTTAAAAACCTGATCAAAACACCAAAAAATCCCTTTCAATGTAGCATGGAAGAGATCATTCATATCATGTCAGGGGGAGTGAAACTGGGGATTTACCTTCGCCTGGAGTATCCAGTAAGTCTCAGGTTTGAAAGACTGGATCTTGTCATGGCGTTCCACGCAGAAGCCTAGTGTTGGGGTCTGGCATGGTCCAAATGAGATCAAGGAGGAGTCTAGATTGCCATATTTGCCCTGGAAATACTTGGTCTGGAACCTGAAAACATTTGACCAGAAAAAGACAGTCTTAGACTGCATTCATTATCATCTCAGGTCAGCTGTAATAAAGGTTGTGGAGCAGGGAATCAGCCATGTGTCATTGCTGTAGAAGGCAGTGTACCGGGTGAAGGCACAGCCGATGCGCAGATCCAGTTCCTGACGTGCATCTACTGACAGCGCTTCATTGCGGTTGGGCTCTCCCAGGCAGTTCATGGCGTTCCAGATGTCAGTGTCAGTAATGGAGCTGAACTTGGCACGGTAAACGCTCTGCTCTCTGACACTCCCCTTGTTCATCACTGGCTGGATGGCATCCAGCACCTGGGGAAAAGGAGAGGTAGTGACTGAGTGCTAGAAAGATCCAAATAAAAACAACTATGTTGGCAGGCGCAGTAACCGTATTCCATATGATCTAAGACCTTAGTTGTCGTAAGGGTAACCTCATATTTGATTTCAGAAGAAGGAAACACATAGGTGCACTGGCATCTGTGGGGTGGGGAGGTATAAGTCTTTAGAACCTCACAACTGACCACACCCAACATTACGTCTGGCTGTGGTCAGGTGTGCTTTGTTATATTTGTGATGCCAAATTTTGAACCTGGGTGCAATTACTTTTCAAAGCTGCACTGATCAAAAATCATTTTCAAATTCCTTTCAGCTCTATGGAGCATTTTTAGCCTCCTTTAGCTCTTTGTTTTGGTTTCACAGCCACAGCTCTTTCATCAGTGTTGTTTCCAGCAGCAGCAGGCAGCTGTTTGCAGTGAAAGAGCTCTGATAAAACCACTAACTAAGGACATTTACTCACATACTGCATTTAAGTATACTGTTTAGGTACTTGTACTTTACTTCAGTATTTCCAGTTTATGCTCCTTTATACTTACTTCTACTAAATTTCAGGAGGAAATATTATACTTCTTACTGCACTACATGTATCTGACAGCCGGAGTTAGTGATAACTTCGATTTTACATGCAAAATACATGATCAGCTTATATATATATTATAAATAATTTTTTAACACTATATTCTACTGGGAGCTCAATCACCTCAATTGATGAGCTGTTTTTTAACAGACGCCATGGGTCGCCTTCCATGGTATTGGTATACCAAAAGGTATTTGGATACATAATCAGATTAAGGAAAAAAGCATGTTAAATCAGGTGTAAATGCATGCAGAACACACAGGGACTGGAATCCAATCATATCAGCCAGACCACATTTTGGAGGTGGTTCCGATTGGACTGGTGTAAATGCAATCTGTGCAGCGTGCCCACATTCTTAAGAAAATATCCACTGAACAAACTAAAAGGTCAAGCCTCCTCTTCCTCCTCAACAAAAGAAAATTTGCATATTGAGATAAGATCATAATTGGATCTCAATCTACACAATCAAGATAACAAGAACACATTTTAATACCGAGACTCATGAATTTGATGTATTTTTCCACAGAACATATCCAACTGCAAATGTCTGAATTACCTCAAAGCAGATGTTTTCGCCCTCTTTATCGCAGTCCAACCATAAAACCACATAGTCACAGCCTCTGGCTTCAACCTGATACAGCAACAAAAACACCAGAGATACAAGGCATGACACACTGACCTCAAGCTCATTGTACAGAATGCAGTAAGATGTCAAAAGCAATTACAGTGTCAACCTCTAAAATCTACCTGGAGGAACTTGACCATGTTGAGTTTGGGGTTGGCCTCCTTCTTTTCTGTGGGAGCTTTGCTGAATAGTTCTGCAGGGTCCACCTTATCCCAGTTGTTGTACTTCCCTTTAAAAGAAGGACCAATCTCTTAAATAAATTTAGTAAGAAATTACGAGAAATACGAATCAAGAGTTTGAACATTGAAGAGGTTGAAACCCAAATCAGTCCAAATCTAAGTGAACATGCTGTTTTATTACATAAAGCAATACACAGTGGGACATCAAATTAAGAACATGTTTAGGAAGTCGCATTTATAGATGCACTGATCCAAGATTCTTTTACCTTCCTTTTCCCTCAAATTAAGATAACTGAACTCATGGTTCTGCTGAGTACTGAAACATTTCACTTATACATCAGCAGTCTTCATTGGCTGGTGCATATTTCAATTGCATTATTTTAGATAGTTTGTGTCAATAATGTTTTGTCCAAACTTCCTGGGTCCAGGGACGGCTGCGCACTTGTAAGATACACAGATACACAGAAAGCTCCATGCTGCTTCACAGACGATTGACAAGACGATTATAAGACAGAATGTAGTATTGTAGAATTGTAGATAAAAATGACAATTAAATACAGGTTTAACGGTAGTATTTAAAAACGTTATGATAAAAACTAAATAAAATAAATTAAGAAAAGTGAGTGGCTACATTTATGCTGCATTAGACGTACTACACTGACTGATTTTCAGCATTTCAATTACTTCTTCATTGTATGACAAACATGATTTGAGGTGTTGTTTATATAAATTATATTCTTTTAGTATTCAAATGAGACAAAAAAAACCATTACATTAGTATAACACTGCAAGCACTGCAAGGAAATGCATTGTTTAAAGCTTAGACAAAGGGTGAGCCAGACCTAATATGGAAAATACCCACCGATGAAATCCAGACTCATCACATGTCCACAAACAGAAGTCATCCTAAAGCGTACAGGTTGGCCCTGGAAGCTGCCGCTGTATTCGTGCACTGAGCATGCTCCGTTGAGCCCCTTGCGACTTGTGCAATTTCCTAAAGGCCAAAGTGAACAGATGAGGTAGTCAGTTAAAAAGGTGCAGAATTTTATAGACCTCTGAACATGAAACATTCCAATGTTTCTATTAAAGCTTAAATGTGAATGAAATATGGGAGAAGAAGCAAAGTAAAGATCTTTGTGAAGCCAGCTGAGATCTCATATTTTACCACTCAATAATGTTGAAACTGGACAGTATGTCAGTCCAGAAGAAGTGCTAGCTCAATGATATAGAAAATGAACATGATTTTTATTTTATTGTTCTTTTTACTGGAAACCATACAATACCAAAATTGATCTGGACAAAGAGTGAGTTGGCTGTTCACAAAGGAAACATTAAGTAAGTCAACAAGTGGGAGAAAACCTGGCTGGGAGATCAAGATGAATGCCTTTATCAGGAAAAGGCTTGCCTTGTAGCATTTCTTTTCTTTCTTCTGCTATTTAGTTTACAACTTATTGGCACACAGATGGTATAGATTAGTGGACTGAGGTCACAAAAGTGACGTCAGTGTGGAAGTGCTTTAAACCTGCATTATTTCTCTAATGGCCAACAGGGGGCAATTCTACCGTCTCCAAAAAGAAGCCCAATAGTACTGAGTGTAATGGAGAATGAGCTGACTTCTCACTTTATTTACTAGCTCAGTAAACTGTTTTACTGATAAGTTTATGGTCGGAATCTCTAGTTTCAGTCTTCTTCCATACAGCATATTCTTTAGTAAATGATGGTCCCATTTAGAGTCAAATAGACCATAAAGCAGGGTATGCTTTAGGGCGGGGCTACCTTTTGAATGACAGATCATTCTCAGTGAGTCCGTCCAGCTCAACGCACCAAACTCAGAGCAGACTGGTTAGGCGAGGCTCTATAGATGTGCCGGTCTGTGTTGGTTGCACCGAGGGCACAGAGGCACAGCTGATGACAACCCCATCCCAGTGAGTCCGTCCAGCTCTATTAAATTGATTCAACTGTCAAACTAGGCAGTGCTGATCAGATATAAGATTCTGTTACTGCGCTGACTATTTCTCACATCACCTACCAGCTCCACGCTCTCGTGCAAATAAGGTCACTTAGGGCCCCATAAAATAAAAATGCCAAACTTTAGGCTTCAAAACATTTGTCCATAAACCAGTAGGTGACGTCATAGTGGGTTTATACTTGCGTGCACATAACTGAAAGTATGTAGAAGAACATATATTGTCATGGTTTTGTATGTTATGTAAAGATGTCTTGTTTTTGATGTTTTACAGTGGTGTCTTTTAATCCCATGCAGGATGGATGTTTGGCATGAAACAGATAAGAATTTACTAACTACAGAATAATGCCAGCCTTATTGTCTATTATGCTTGCCTCAAGGGAATCGAGTTCCATCTCACTAAAAATGTAATTGGCGTGAATGCAAACTTTTTATACTTACGTGTACTAATAATTTTATAAAATGTAATGATTAATCCTGACGTACAGTTTTAAAATAAGTTTAAACGTGTTTTTTTTGTTGTTAAATCAAATGTGGAGTTTAACAGGAGGTCAACCTCTGATGACTGTGGACCTTCTCCATTAAGTGAGTAATTTACCTGGACTCAATGCTACAGGCTGACGTCCTCTCTGAATAAAATTATTCACTCAAGGCTGAATGCTAATGACAGGAAAATAGGACAATGGGAACCAGAGTGATCAATGTCATGGTATGGTAGCAATCCCACAAAAACAGGGGTATAAATAGAGGCAGGTCCAGATACTGGTCACAGATCAACTCCAAGCCAAAGAACACACCGATAAAAACACATCAGCCATCAACATCTCTTAGACAGAAACAGAGGACACCAACTTCCCGTCATAAACTTCAGCAATGGAACAGCTCCAGGTAAGAAACCTGCCGTTACGCTGATGGTAACGATGACTGAAGGGTGTTATTGACGGCTACCAAATGGTTACACTCTGCCTCTAGCTCTAGTTATGGTTTTAAAAGATCAGTTCACATATTCTTCCAAATCAACCCTCACCCATGTGCACATTGAAATAATAGTTACTGGTAGTTGTAATCCTTCTTTCTGTGCATACTGGCAGTGAAATCCCTTCCTAACACAAGAAGAGATGGGGTAAGAAATCCACACTCTGCGTCTGTGCAAAACTGCACTGTAGATTAAAAGCAAGTGGACATCTTTTAAAGTTACTTAACTCTGCAGTGAACCTAACTGGTTGATTAGAACGTCATTATTGTTTGTCGTACTGTACAAAATGATTTTTATTGCGGATCATGACTCTGTACCAACTTACTAATAGTAATCCATTGGTCGGTCTAATATCATGTGTGCTCTACAGTATTATCTTGGCTGCATGGATCTTTGAACAGGACAATAATTTGTGTGCACAAGATATAAAAACATATTACTTCAGGTGCTCCATACTTTACATCATCTATCAAGCATTGGTGTCATCATACTGTTTTAAACAGTACCAGGTTCTGTTACAGACACCTTTCTGGTATTTACTGCAAGGAATATGAACATGTTCTCTCCAAAACTCTTATTCATTATAAAATGTCAATTTAAAATGGTCAGTCAAAGGTACGGTAAAATCAGGAACTATCTGATCAGACAGACAAACACGAGGCATCTCCAGGTAACTGACGCAGAGAAATCCGTCCACACAACCCAGTTATTCTCTGTGTCCAGCTCCTGCGTGTCTTTCTGCTGTGCCTGCTGGCCCTCCACCAGTGCCTGGCCATGCCGCTGGGCAGCCAGTGTGTGGACGAATCCTTCTGCTCATACAGCCTACAGGACTACTACAGCCAGCTGGTCAACCTACCCAGCCGCATCAACGAGCGCAGCATTGCAACCTGGAGCTATGTGTGAGTATGCATGCAATATATCACTTGTCCTTAAGCTACAACACAGATGTCATCCTCTACTGAAGAGACTGATGCTGAAAGGGTTAGTCCTAAACCTAAACTAAATTATAATTCATTTGAAAGCCTTGTTCTTAGTCTTACTCATCCAAACTGGAAAACTCTGCAGCCAGTTCTATTTGTTATAGTGTA